CCCTCTCCTCAGCGGAGCCTCCAGCCGCCGCTGTTGGCGCGTCCTCCGCCGCTGTTGGCGCGTCCTGTTGTGTGTCTTCAAGTCATTTCCAACATATGGATACTCTTAAGGTGAACCTATCACCTTTCTTGGTAAGATATGTTCAGATGGAGTTTGCTGTTGCTGTCCTCTGAGAGTGTGACTGTCCCAAGGTTGTTCAGTGGATTTTCATGGTGGAGTGGGTATTCAAATTCTGGTCTTCAATTGTCTTAGTCCAACACTCAAACCATGGTATTCTTATTCTTATTCTTATCTATTTTAATATATTAAATCTAGCTCAGAATGTATTGGACTCACGTGCTCTTTGTGGCCATTTTTAAATTTTAAAAAATTACAAGGTGGTGATGTACTCCGGCTCACATCCATGCTTTGAACAATGTGTTTTACTGTTATAACTTTTATACAAAGGTGGAAAGATAAGGCATATCTCCAAAGCGTGAATTTAAACTCGGGCTCAAGTCTAGTTTCCATTAACTTCCAGTGAATAATGCAATTTCACATGAACTTCATGTTTGAGAGCTTCTGAGATAGTATCACTCCTTTCTGTCTTTCAGCTTAACATTCTACATACTGAACTGGCCAAACAGCTTGCAGACACAATGGTTCTCCCCATCATCCAGTTCCGTGAAAAAGACCTTACAGGTAACTATTGCCAAAGTTCTTCTAGACTTGGGTTTCTCTCTGTAGTTATCTTCTAATCTCTTCTCTTTTTAATACACTTGGTTTTAATATGATGTGATATTGATGGAGTGTGAATGCTATAAGGTCACCAGCCTCCTGTTACAACATGATGGATAAATGTCCATGTACTAAAGGTAAAACTTTATTTATTTTGGTAGAGCGGAATATTATTACCAGATTTTAAAGGAATGAATCCATTGTTTTATGTAACATGATACCCATAATCTAACCATCAAGTTACAGCATCTTTCTTTCTTTTAAAAATTGGTATAGTATTAGGCAGTGGTATATATGTTTGTATGTCTTTACCTAGCACATATATTTACAATGTGTTTGAAAAAGACTAAACATGTGAAGGATTGTATTGAGGGGGAAGGAGGGTCAGGGCCTAGTTAGTAAGACTGTGGCTTAATGACCAAACAAAATTTGTGTTGTCATGATGTCTGTCATGTTGCATCCCAGTCTGTCTTGTCTGGATTAAGTTTAAATTTGTTCACTCTCACTCAGTCTGTTACTGACATCAGGAACAGGAATAGCTTCCTTGAAATTGGATGGAAAGGATAGATAGTGTTTCATCCGCATGAGGGGCTGCTATTTTGGGGGATCCAGGTGAACATACTTTCCCCATGAAGTACAAATCGTTGTGTTTTAAATCTGGCGTGATTAGTTCAGTCCTGCTCTTTCTGCGAATGCCCTGTATTTTCTGGGTGAAAGAAATAGCATAAATAAATAAACTAATATTTCTCTATGTTTTTGTCTCCAATTTTACTGATCACATTCCTGCTACAGTACAAAACATATATATTCAGCACAAAACATGGACTGAGACAGTTTTGTTGGGGTGATGAAGGATATTTGGTGAGAAATATATTCAAATATTACATGAAGGCAGTGGTCTGAATATCCTGAAGTTTCCAGTTGCCATCTGAACTAGGAAGCTAAGCAGGATCAGGCCTGTTTAGTACTTGGATGAAAAACCACCAAGGAACATCAGGAGCTGGGAGTTTAATTTAGAGGAAGGAACCAGCAAAATACCTCTGAGTATTCCCTACCTAAGAAAAATGTGTGAAATTTCTGGAGTTGTCATAAGTTGACAGCTACTTGAAGGCACATGCACACAGCAATGATGAACCTCCTTTGAATAAGTCTTGCCAAGACAACCCTATAATAGGATCACCATAAGTTGGAGACAACTTGAAGCACATAGCAAACTAAACAAAAAAGTTATATTCGATTTTGAAAGAAAGTGTACAGTCAGAGTTTAATAAGTGCATTGTGATACCCCCTCCCAGCACTGATTTTTTATTCCAATGCATACATTCTTAGTCTAACTTCTTTTTTCCCCCTAGAAGTAAGTACTTTAAAGGATCTCTTCAGCCTTGCTAGCAATGGTATGTTTCACATTTTGTCTTTTGTTTGACT